TGACTTCCTCTCCAGTCCAAGCACTTGATAGAGTATTCTGCACAATGACATTCAGCAAATATCCATTTAGTATACATTAAATAAACAGTAGACTCTGAATAAGCAATACCAATGAGTTAGGGTTCAGGTGGGCTTTTTATTGTCTAGTCATTGCAACACAAATAGGACAATTAAATATGGTTTCAACTGTGGCTTCAAAAGCCTAATTTCAAATAGTCATGAATGAAAAGGATAAAAGGGTAATTATAAATTATGGTTTGCCTAACTCAGTCCAACAAATGCTGAATGACAATGCTGTATAAAACACTGTAACGGGCATTAAAGCAAAAATAAATGAGTTGCTCTTACAGAACTTTTATTATAGTGGAGAAGCAGTCAACAAATAACCCCAGCAATTGGAGGCTTCCCGGGAAGCTCAGTGGTAAAGAATCTGCCTGCTCATGCAGGAGATATGGGTTAGATTCCTGACTTTGGAAGATCTTGTGGAGAAAGAAATGGCAACCCACTCCAGTATTCCTGGGCTTTCCTAGTGGTGCTAGTGGTAAAGAAGCTGCCTGCCAATGCAGTAGGCATAAAAGACAAGATCAGTTTCCTGATCCCTGGGTCAGGAAAATCCCCTGGAAAAGGGAATGGCAACCCCCTCCAGTATTCTTGCCTGGAGAATTCCAGGGACAGAGGAGCCTATCAGACTACAGTCCACAGGGTCTCAGAGAGTCAAGCAAGTCAAGACTTAGCAACTAAACAACAAAGGCAAAATGTGGTGAAACTACGGAAGCATTAGAGATAAAAAGTAATTCTGATTAAGGATGTGGATAACAAGGTTCCCTGCGGGAAGTATTAACCTAACTGAAGCCTTAAAAGGACTACAGGCCATTCTGGAGAAAAGAGCAGGGGCAAAAGTAGAACTGAAAGTAAGGGCTTCCAAAGGGAGAGGACATGTGTGTGCCTGTGGCTGATTCACGTTGGGCTTTGACAGAAAACAGCAAAACTCTGTAAAGCAATCATCCCCCAATAAATAAATAATGAATTTTTTTAAAAAGTATAACTGAAAGCAGTTCCACAGATGTGTGGTGTATATTTGGGTGTGCAGAAGCAGGACAACAGTAGAAAAATAAACAGTCTGGGGCCACATCTTGGGGGCAGAGAACTGTGCAGTGTGCTGAAATACCTGACTAGTAGTCTAGGAGATGGAGACACACCCAAGGTTTCCCAAAAGAAGAGTAACGCAGTCAGAACCAAGCTGAAGAAGACCTCTCTGACGACAGTGAGAGAAAGAAACTATTTTAACTAGCCAAGGAAGAAGCCCCAGGGCAGTAAACAGCAAAACTGAAGAGGACAGGGAACGGCAGCTAAAGTCAAGGGTATGTATGCAGTAAAGAAGTTTAAACTGTCATTCTTCCCACCAACCATGGTTACTTGTTGCTCTCTCTAGTAGACCTGTCCTTTAAGAGGAAATAGGAGAATCAGCTTTAACAAACATCCAGATTACTTTCTCAACCCACCACAATTTCAGATGAGTTTTTAGCAGTGATTTGTCATGTCAGCCTAGTAAAGCTTACTCTAGAGTTCTAATTCATCTTCATTTGTAAAACAAACTTTTAAAATATGATATATAGAGCAGCAATCACTATTTTTGCCTTCCACAACCAAAATAATTTAGGCTAAGATAAAATACTTGCAACGCAGGGCAGCCACAACACTTAGACAAATTAGAGCTCTCCAGAGAAGCTAAACAGGGAGTTGTTTTCTCTTATCAAGCAGAGGAGAGAGCAGTGAAGATCTATACTATGGGGCCAACATGCATTTCCATTTCCTTTTGGGTCAAGTACCTCTGAAACCATTCTGTAGCCATTTCCAAGTAGCCCCTGTGCTGGTTGAAGGTGTAAATTTGTGTTCTCCAGGCGTGCCTTAGTCAAGTCTTCTTAAACCAGAACAACGGCTAGGACAGAGCAATCCCTATCTAGTTCTGGCTCCACCACTAAATACATGACCTGAACTCATTATTTTCTTCATCCATCAGTGATGAGATGAAGTGCTGGACTCCAGGACTTCTGAGGTTTCTGCTAGCTCTAAAACTGTCATTTTCTGTTGATGCCCTTGGACCCTCTGCCTTCTCCCAAATTCCTCTAACAAGCCCACAGCAAATACCCAGAAGTAGAATGTCAACCTTGCTTCCAGAGCCCCCTGTACTGAAATGTTCAGGCTTGAGACTCCCAAAGGAAGTCCAGTCTGTTAATGGGGGCCATTCTTTAAACAAAAACAACCCCCCCACCTCCCGCAAAACAAAAATTCAAAGTCCTCGGAAGAAAGGTGCTAAGGACTGGAATATAGAATCATGACATAATTGCCTCAAACTGACTGCAACACAAAATTCTCAAAGTCCAATGCTCCTTGGGACTTTTTTAGTAACAAAAAAAATAAGAAAAGAAAAACAAAGAAAAAACAATTGGCAAAGCCCAAAAAGGAAAAAAAGCCCCAAAAAACGCAAGAAGGAACTTCCCGGCAAGCCAAGGGGTAAAAACCCCAAAGCCGCCAAAGCAAGGAAGGCAAGCCCGAACCCCAACGAAGGCAACAAAAGGCCAAAAGCCCCCCAAAAAAACCCAAAGGTTAAAAACGGGAGAAAACAAGACCCCAATTGGGAACAACCTCCTCCCTAAAAACAAGGAAGAAAACCGTCCCCTCCGAACCCCCTAACAAGTCCCAAAAGAAAAAATAACCAAAGAAAAACCAAAAGCAACCCGAAAACCCGAAAAACGGCCGGCAACGAACAAAAAAAAAACAAAAAAGGAAGCAAGTTAACCGGTAAGGCCCCACCTTCTACCCCTGTACTAAGTTATTTAGCTGATTACCAAGGCCATTTTGTTTCTAAAACGCTACGCTCATATGTCTGTCTGTCTCCCTAGCCCTAGGAGGGCCGGATCTCAGGTCCAACCTTACGCCACGGTGGCTCAGACGGTAAAGAATCTGCCTTCAACGCAGGAGACCCGGGTTCGATCCCTGGGTTGGGAAAACCCCTGGAGAACGGAATGCTAACCCACTCCAGTATTCTTGCCCTGGAGAGTTCCACGGACAGAGGAGCCTGGTGGGCTCCAGTCCATGGAGTCGCAAAGAGCCGGACACGAGTGAGCGACTAAGACAGACAGACAGACACACACACACACAGACACACACACACGCCAGGCATTGTGCTGGAAGCGCTACAGTCCATGGAGCGACTAAGACAGAGAGACAGACACACACACACACACACACACGCCAGGCATTGTGCTGGGAGCGCTACAGTCCATGGAGCGACTAAGACAGACAGACAGACACACACACACACACACACACGCCAGGCATTGTGCTGGGAGCGCTACAGTCCATGGAGCGACTAAGACAGACAGACAGACAGACACACGCCAGGCATTGTGCTGGGAGCGCTACAGTCCATGGAGCGACTAAGACAGACAGACAGACAGACAGACACACACACACACACACACACGCCAGGTATTGTGCTGGGAGCGCTGGGAATACAGCCATCATCAACAAAAAAGAAGGCGCGCGACACGAATGTGCTGGGGGGGTGGGGGGGTGCGCTGGTTCTAATGTAACAGTTACACTTCCTAAAAGAACTGGCATCCTGGTTTGGCTTTGGCTTAATATGGAAAAAATTTCAAAACTGAAAAAAGGCATTCAACCAGGGGCAAATTCAACATAAACTTCTGAGCCCTAAAGCAGGCAGATTTCCTAACCCTGGGAGCTACGGCCGAGATTAACTAATCAATAGAAGAAGTTCCACAGCGCCAGCTGCCGCGTCTGGGCCCCACGCGCCAAAGCAGTCCAGACCTGGAGGGAAACGTGTAAAACCAAAATGGAGGAGGGGCTCCGGCGGAGTCAGATCCGGAGCGAAAACCTCGTGGCTCTCCTCTCATGGCGCCAACCAGCCTTCCTACTCCGCTCTCTCCAGCCCTGGGAGGCATCATCTCGCCTCGCCAAACCCGGCGCGCAGCACCCACGCCTCGCAGGCTCCCCTTGAGCCCGTGCGCCGAATCAACTTGGAGATTGTTAAACAGCAGGGGAAACAAGTCGCCACATCTTAAAGGAAGGGGAGCAAAGAAAGAAACATCTGTGAGGACTCCACCCTTCTCCACCTGCAGAAAGAGCCGGGGGTAAAGCTAGGAACGCAGATCCCTAGCTTTGCTGAAAAAAAAAAACAAAGAAAGCAGGCTGCTAGAGGGGTCAGACACCCAGAGGATGACCACTTTCCGCGGATCCAAGACGCCTACGGCCCCAGACATCTTAAGAGCACGGGGCCAGTATAACTTTCTCATTGAGGCTGACCCCGTTTCCTCTTAAAACCAGAGAGGGAGAGAGAGAGAAAAGCCTCGGCTATGATCATTACATTGATGTCACCTCGCTTATTTGGCTCTCAGGATTTTTCCCGGAAACCCCTGCAATCCCCGGCCCCGGCATCCAGTCCAAGCGGGGCTCCTCTTCTTCCCCTGGACGCCGCCTCGTGCTTTCTCGCAGCCGTCCCAGTAGGGCTACGCGGCTCGCTCCGCCCTTGGCACCCGGGCTGCGCCGCTGAGCGAGCGCATCAACGCCAGGACAGGGGAAGACGGGTGTACCGGGGGTTCGTAGAGGACCCTGCTTAAAGCCCTGGCCCCCACGTCTGACTTGCAAAACAATAAGCATCCGTTTTCTCTGCCCCTCCCCCACAGGACCCCGGCCACGAGTCACGGCCGCCCGGGGAGCGTGCCAGCCCTGCGATCGGTAGCCGGGGTACCTCTGGAACCTCGGGTGGCCCGCGTCCTCGCCCACCCGTCCCCCGCCGCGGCGCCCGTAGTCCGCGCAGGGAGGACTTGGCACTGGAGCGCTGCCAGGAGCGGAGGCGCGCGGGCCACGCGGTGGCTGCAGCAACTGACACGGCCCGCGGCCGCCGGCCACATGCGCCGCCGCGGGGCCGGGACCCAGGAGGGGGAGAGAGGAGGGGGCCCCCCGGGGCCCCGCCGTACCTTGCCGCTGGCCGTGCCCCCGCTGACGCCGATCAGGAAGGGCTCGCCGCCGTTGGGCTGCTGGTGGTTCTGCAGGGTCTGCTCGCTGTCCCCGGCCATGGCTCGCGCGGCCCCTCCTCCCGCTGCCTGTGCGAACCGACGCACGCTCCCCGCCCGCGCCGGGCTCCCTCTGCTTCCCGCAGCCGCCACTGGGCGCTGCCCAGGCCGAGGCTGCCGCCGCTCCCCGCGTACAGCTTGGGGCCCGGTGCTGCCTTTCCCTGAGGAGCGCAGAGCCTTCCTCTGCCTGCTGCGGCCGTCCCGGTTTACATCCCAGGCAGAGGTCAGCGTGATGCTGCTGCTCCAATCCGGGCGGGCAGCGCACTGCTATTCGCCGGGGCGGCGGCGGCGAGGCGTCTGGCCCCCGCCTCCGCCCTTCCCGGGCCCCGCCGCCACCGCCCGAGGGCTCTGGGAGAGGTGTGAGCCCGACCCTCCTGCCTACCCACCCGGTTAACCCTATCAGCGAAGACGGCCTGCCGAGGACCAGGGGAGAAGAAAGGAGCCTTCTGCATGTTTTAAGTGGGTATGCCCCCACCTATTTCAAAAAGGATAAAAAGCTAAAAGGGCAGATCAAATAATAGAGGGCATGCCTCAGGTTTGAGAAGCAAAATCAGAACAAGCTTGAAAGAGTAAGATGAAACAAAGAGTTAATATCATTTATCCATTATCCAGACTAAAAACTTGTGCTCCGAAAATGAAATTTTTTCCCCCTCCCGTTTGCCAAAATAATATTTCAGCCTCTGGCTTTAAATATTTCCTCTCTTGGAAATCTCCAAACACCATCCTCTAACTTAACAGGCGACTTTCTGGAGTCCTTCTTCCGAAAGAAAGGTAATTTGAGGGGGCTCTGAAGAACGCCCTCCCTCCCAACATCAACGCCCTAAGGATAGTTTGAAATCCCAAACACGGAGGTTCCTGTGGAGTTAAGCGTGGAAACGTTAAAACAATACATGTTGATTTATTAATACCTTTAAGTGAACTGGTTTAGGTGGGCAATTAGACACTTGGTTACAAAAGACAGTAGCTGCTGGTGACCAAGAGTGGAGCCACCTCTGGAACCAGATTGCTGTATTTGCTGCAGTTCCCTGGGTAAGTTACTCAAGCTCCCTTGCTCAATGTTCTCACCTGTTAAATGGGCATAGTGGCAATTACATGCTAGGCTTATTGCATTAAAATGAACTTTTATTTAAAGTATTAACAGAGTGCCTGACACAAGTGCAAGACTTTATATAAAGGTGCTGTGAGAAAAGGCCCCTAAAGGGCTCAAGCTGGCAAAGGAACCTTTGTTGAAGCACAGGAAAGAGAGGGAGGACTAGACTAGTCACTTCCAACCTCTGCTCCTGTGAACCCAGGACTGGTACCGATGAGCCTTAGGCCCTACCATCTAAAGAAGAACTTAAGTCTATTGCATTCTCTTTCAAAACTTAGTAAATTATCTTAAATTCCGAATTACTTTGAAAAAATTACTAAAGAAAATGAAGAGTATTAGAAAAAACAGATAATCTTTTCACTTTTTAAATATTTCAGGTTACCATCCCCAACCAAACTCCACAGAAGCTCAGACAAGAAACTAAGCTGGGGAGAGCAGCTTCCTGGAACCCAGAGGCAGGCATTTGGGAGAGGTTAGTAAGGAAATGGCAACCCACTCCAGTACTCTTGCCTGGAAAATCCCATGGACAGAGGAGCCTGGTGGGCTACACTCCACGGGGTAGCAAAGAGTTGGACACGACTGAGCGACTTCACTTTCTTTCTTTTCTTTCAGTGAGAAGCCTTATCAGATTGCTGAGGGGTGGCTGGGTTTCAGGCTGATTCATAAGGCGGCTTCTTCTCCTACAAGTTTTTCTCCCAGTGAAAAGATAACGATCTTCTAGGGTTATGGCAGAGCTTTTCAGAGCCAATAAAAGGCCAACTGGAATTTGGAACTTCATGGACTCATAGCTAAGGGGATATTAGGTAATTGAGAGGAAGAAGAAGAATAAAACAATGCCACATCCTCCACAAACTTTTCCCAAATTCCCATCTTCTTTATCATTCCAATAACTTTTTTCTACAACATTTTAATCATAAAAATTTTCAAACTTAATGTTGAAAGATTTTACAGTAAACACTGATATAGCCACCACCTAGATTCTGCTGTTAATATTGTATTATACTTGCTTTATCACATCTATACATTGTACCTTTTGTTTCCCTTTCTTAAAGTGACTTACTACAAACTGGTTTACACATTTCTTGCTTCGTCTGTCTGTCTGTTTTCTATCCCTAGCACCTAAAACAGTTTCTGACACATAGCCTTAGGGAGTAAAGAGACACCATATCTCATTTCTACATTCTTAAGGCCCACAGAACAGAATAACTGGAGGTAGGAGGCACTCACACAATACATGTTTGTTGAATATTAGATGAATGAATGAACAAATATGAAAGAGGTAAGAAAATGTGCTGTGCTGTGTTTAGTCGCTCAGTCGTGTCCAACTCTTTGTGACCCCATGGCCTGTGGCCTACCAGGCTCCTCTGTCCATGGGGATTCTCCAGGCGAGAATACTGGAGTGGATTGCCATGCCCTTCTCCAGGGGATCTTCCCAACCCAGGGATCAAATCGAGGTCTCCCACGTTGCAGGCGGGGCTACCAGCTGAGCTACCAGGGAAGCCCAAATATCAACAAGCAAATATCACTTCCACCATTTTGGAAGAAAATGTGGTTTTCCCTAGATTGCATTGATGTGGTTACTATTATTTCTGAATGTTTTGTTTTCCTGTCATTCCAAGTAACTGTCTACCTCTAATCCTAATATGTGTATCTGTTAACTAGTTGAACTAACTCATTAACTGAGCTAACTCATTACACTATCTGCACCCTGTTTAATAATAATAATATTTGACATGAGTTAATATACATAAAAGTGCTCTGAAAAAAACAAAAGCTATCTATAAAGGCTTTTATAAAGCTATCGAGCTGCTCTCTGCACTCCCTGTTTTCACTTTGCTGTTTTCTTTTTTTCTATTTGTCCCTAGGGCAGGCTCACCTACACGGAAGGAAGTACCCCTGTCCATTTAAAAATATTCTCAGCACTGGTGACCTCAGCAAGGACGTCTGCATCCTTGCTTTCTATAAAGCAAGGCAGGCTGTCTGTGCTATTCCCCATGCTGTATCATCCCCTCTTGGGAGCCTGGTCACCAAACCCCACAGCTTAGGATGTTCAAACCACGTTTGAGCCTCCTGCAGCAATTACACTGCAGATTCTGAATTAAGTGATTTCCAGATGCCCTCCTTCCCCTCCCACTAAGAAGAAAAAAAAGTCAAAGGTTTTCAATAAAATCCAGAGCTAGAACAGATGCACAGGAATACATTTTCTTGGTATCTGTGAGGATTTTCTTATACGTACAGAGATTTCAGTCTGATCAAGTTCTGGCCTAGTTAACATTTGGGAATAAAGTCAGCATGAGTGTGCAACTACAGCTATAGCCAAAGAAGAAAAGAACTTGCTCCTGACACCTCCCTTCTGTCCGTAAAGTAGCTACAGTTCTGAGCTAGACAAGCAACCTTACATTTTGCCTCCAATTGACAAATGCTACCACCAGGTGCTTCACACACCGTAGCTAATTCTCTAATTGCTTATCACATTTCCCAACCAGAAAAACATGTTCTCACACTTCAGTATGTCTTTAGCAGCATGTTAGTTCCCTGTTACGCCTTTCCATTTACCTCCTGTATTTTACTAATCAGCAGTTACTCTGACAGGTCATAAGTTCTGTTCTGAGAAGGTGACCGGATGATATGAAAGCTCCTTCAACATCTGGCTCTGTGACCTTTGGTGCCATTCAGTCGCTCAGTCGTGTCTGACTCTGCGACCCCGTGGACTGCAGCACACTAGGCTTCCCTGTCCATCACCAACTCCGAGAGCTTGCTCAAACTCATGGCCATCAAGTCAGTGATGCCATCCAACCATCTCATGGTCTGTGATCTTAATCAGTCACATGCTCAGATGCTGTTAGGCAGCAGGACATGGCAGGCAAATCCATGGTCCCCTCCCCAGAAGTAGTAACCTGAAACTTCGTGGGCCAGGCAATTTGTCTTTCATAAACTACACGTGACTCAAGTGCTTCCCAGGTTTGAGCACCACTGACTTAGTGGAAAGAAGACAGTGTGAGCTCTAGTTAGCAAAGCACAGCTTACATCCTTGCTTTGTTACATACTCACTGTATAACCTTTAGCAAGTTACTTTCTATAAACCTCAGTTTCTTTAACTGTTAAATGGTAGCTGGCTCATAGGATGGTTGTAAAAAATAATAAAGATATTGTCAGTATACATATAATGGTTGTTACATAGGTATCATTTCTCTTTCCCTCCTATTTCTGTCACAAGTCTAACTATTGCAAGAGTCACACCATTAGAGATTAGGAGTTCCAAAGGTAAGGACTTCTAATCCCTATGGACACTTTAAACTAAAATAAAAAAGATAATGTCCAACACAGGTAACTCTACACGTAGCACTTGCCTGCATTTAGAGAAGTCGGGGCTAAATGGAGAGTGGCAGCTAATGGGTCCAGTTTTAGAGCAAAGGAAATGTTCTGAAATTGTCTGGTGGTTGTGCAACTTTTGCATAAGAACCTTTAAATCATATAAGTTAGTGGATTATATGGTATGTAAGTTATATCTCAGTAGAGCAGTTTCAAAAAATAGGTCTCAACCTGCAGTCTAGGAGGGGAAAGAGGTTTTTCAGAGTTGGTAACAGAAATGACAAAGTCACAGGGAAAAAAGAGACAGAACTAAAAAGACAATGTTAGGGGATTTTGTAACCTATAAAACAGTGCCCAAATGCAAGTCATTAATTTTTTTATATTCAGTATACTGATTTTTGCACATACGCCCCTCCCCTTTCTCAGAAAGATAATAGTCATAAAAGGGCCCTTAAACTTTAGGTGCCCCAACTTCAGAAATCCCACATGCCCCCAGAACTTCCCAGACTTTGAAAAAGTTAACATACAGATTTTAGTCCTATAGCAATTTATTTTCTCTCCCTACCTTATAACATGATTTGTTAGTGTGATTCTATGAAAATAAAGTCAGGAGTTCAGTTGCCTTGCCCGGCAAGCTTCCAGCATCCCTGTTTTGTTCACGCTCTGTGTTCTAAGCCATTTACCTTTATTCTGTTCCCAGTTCTTATCCCAGACCTGTATCTGACCCTGTGCTTCTTTTCCTATCACCAGACTACCACCTTGCCCATCCCACTTTTCTGCAGTGACTTCTTTCACCTTCCTCAATTAGCTCCAAGGTCACTTTCTCTGTAAATAATCTACTTCTAGCCCTCCGCCTTCACCCTAGGGCTGATGCTTTGTCCATTACACCATAATGGATGCATTATGGTTGGTGATGTACAGTGCTGGGACTAGGGTGACACAAGGCTGTCAAAATGTAAGGAGGCTCTGACTCTCAATGGAGCAAGGGCTATAGTAGCGGTGCTGTGCTTGGTCGCTCAGTCGTGGCCAACTCTTTGCGGCCCCACGGACTGCAGCCCACCAGGCTCCTCTGTCCATGCGGCTTCCCCAGGCAAGGATACTGGAGTGGGTGGCCATGCCTTCCTCCAGGGTATCTTCCCGACCCAAGGATCAAACCCGGGTCTCCTGCACTGTGGGCAGATTCTTTCCTGTCTGAGTCACCAGGCAAGCTAGTGTAGGGTGGGCCTTAAAAAGGAGTCTTCCGTATGTGTTTCTTCTAAATGTTTTGTCTCTCTCCAGTCCCAGCCCTAGTAACTGTCAACAGGAGAAGCAGAAGATGGTATAGCTGATGGCATCAACCTCGGAGGAGTAGCTACATTTGGTCTGGTGGCTTGTCTTTTATTTAGACTGGCAGGTCTGACTGTCCTAGAGGTGATGCTGAGGTGCCAATTTGTGTTGGAGGCGAAATGAGATTGCAGGTTTAGCAGATTCGTTTTTGCTCGGGGTTCACATGGTATGTTGCTGAAAAGTTACTTCGGTATGTCAAAGCAAACTCTCCCCAGATCATTAGGAGAGAAAATTAATTCAACTCTGCTTCATAATGAAATTACAGCTGTTCCTGGTGGCAGAGAGGCCTAAAGGTTTGAGTGATAGAACCTAGTGTTTCAGAAATATTTTTAGTCAGAGACTGAGAAAACTAAAAAAAGCAACAGATTCCCCAGGAACACACACACACACACACACACACACACTCACAAGTAGAATTCTGAGTGTAATTTACTTAGGTCTGACATAGCCTGCTGGCCAGGGGAGGTGGTTGGGGTGAGGGCAGCTTCAGAGCAGAGTGGAAGTGTTAGCTCTTTTTAAGGAATACGGGTCACCTCTGCCAGCAGCGAGCCCAGGGGCATGGTGGTTTGCAAAGACAGTATCTTCAAAGGCACCTATCCAGATGTCCCCACCCATATCTTAGGATCTTAGGTTTCTACCACCAAGACCCTGACATCTTTCTCCCAGTCCTGCCTTGGCTGACCAATACAAGCTCAGTTTTGAGCTCTAAGCCTGTAACAATTAGGTATTCAGCCAGCTGAAATGACATGCACTATCCCAGCTCATGGGCAGTAGGGACAGTAGCTGGGGCTCTTGGTCAGTTATGTTCCTTGCAGGCTGAGTTCTTTGAGGTGCTTCTCCTGGTCACCATATATGGAGAGCAAAGTCTTAAAAGCTCTGATTAAAATTGTTGAATTATCAATTTTCCCTTTCAGTTATGTCACTTTTTGCTACATGTATTTTAGGACTCTTTTGTTAAGTATGTATACATTTATGAGGGGTCATATCCATTATGAAATGTCCCTCTTTATCTCTCAGAATATTCTATGTCCTAAAGCCAATTCTGTCTGACATTAATAAGCCTCTTCACCTCTCTTATGATTATTGATTGCATGGTATATCGGTTTCCATCTTTTAATTTTAACTTATTTGTATCTGTGAATCTAACGTGTATGTCTTATGAACTGCATATACTTGGATCTTGCTTTTTTATATAGCCTGACAATCTGTAGTAGATTTAACAGTATAATATAATAAATCTGCTAGTAACATCTCCTCTCAGTTTTTGCTTATCTGATAATATCTTTATTTCAATTTCCTTTTCAAAAAATGGTTTTATTGGATATAGAATTCTTGGTCAAGAGCATGGTACTTTTTCCCCAGCCCTTTTAATATGTCATTCTACTGTCTTTCTGGACTTCATTATTTCTAGTGAGAAGTTAGCTATTAATTGTTGTCCCCCTATATATGATGAGTCATTTTCTCTTGCTGCTTTCAAGATTTTTCTCTTCGCCTTTGGCTTTCAGAAATTTGCCTCATGTCTAGGTGTGGTTCTCTTTTATCCTGTTGAAATTTCATTAAGTTTTAGGATTTGTAAGTTAAGGTTTTTCATTAAATTTTGGATGTTTTTTGGTCAGTTTCTTGAAATATGTTTTCAACTCCTT